AAGGTTGTTGCTTTTCAGAGGTCGGATGGCTTGATTATCTGGAAAGTCGGTTCCGGTTTGACATTTTTGAATATTCACAGTGATACCGTGTTCTTGCAGTCGTTCGAAGACAAGGTCAAGATGCTGGAGATGAGAATCTCTGCCTGGACTTGCAGTCAAGCAGTCATCAACATACGCATGTACAAAGCCAAAACTTCGATAAAGGTCATCGATGAATATTTGGGAAGTCTGTGCAGTATTTTCTTAACTGAAGGGCATGCGCAATATACGTGGAGACCGGAGGGTGTGGTGATAATGGTTTTGAGAATGTCACCAGCAGCCATAGATATTTTTTTACATGCGTTAACCAAGTCGATTTTCAAAAAGACGGTTGTATTTTTCAAGGTAGCTGTGAAATCGTGAATGTGGGGCAACGGGTAACGATCAGGAATGGTTTTCACATTCAATCGCCGACAGTCTCCAGTTGGATGTCAGTTGTTTCTATCCTATTTAGAACCATGTGCAAGGGAGATGCCTGTGTACTGTTTGATAAGCAAATGATTCCGAAGTCTATCATATGGTCGGATTCATTTTTAGCCAACCTCAGCTTTTCAGGAGCTAGTCGGCACACTTTCGAAAATACCGTTGGTCCTGTGGTCGTGATGTAACATGTAACGTTGCCGATTACACATGACAATTCCGGTTGCGTTTGGTAAATCTCAGGGTACTTATCGAGTAGTTTTTGATAGTACGGATCGATGATTATTTGCCTTACGGTGACAGTGGATGGTCCACAATCGGAAAAAAGTTACACCAACAGATAATTTTGTATTTTCATCTGCTTACCTCCGTTTGAGAGTGTCGATGAGTAAATTATGGTGTTGTAGCATGTCAATACCAATAATTAGCATGAAAAATAAGATCCAGTGTATGGATTTGCGTAAACCTATAAAATTATTGTTTACGTCGTTATTAGTACCGCTCTGATAACAGACGTAATCTTAAAATTGTAGATTTACCATGATGTAATTGTCTAATCTATAAGATCTTACGTGAAAGTCACATTATTATCTACACCAACCCATCGCAACGTGACAATCATCAAGATATGGTGAAGAACACGGGCTATAGATAGAAAAATATATTTAATATGAATAAAAGGTATATAACTACACTCAATAATGATCACGCCTGCGAGTCTGATCCGTGCCATCTTACCAATTCAAATTGGATTCATCACTCCAACCTTCCTCATCGTCGAATTATTCTCCGCGTTAAATGTTGAACGTATATTTTCCCATTTGTCTCCTGTCTAGCTTTGAGGATTGTGTGATTAGGGCCCAGTGCCACTACAAATCTACGTCAAGATACACATATTGCTCACCGTAAGTCGCGATGGGTTCCCCATTTGTCGCTCACAATTTGAGTACTGCTTCGTGAAGTCGATCGTTAGAATTACCTATAAGAGCGCTCACTTCTGCGTCAGTGTCTACGAAGTAGCGGACTTTTGTCCTCATGTCACTGATGCATAGCAGACGGCTATGTTTCATCGGCTACAACTACTGTTAACGTGTGCCGGCTGGGAAGTTTCTTGGGGCGTTTTTCGTGTCGGTCGGTTTAGGGCTCGAAAAATTGCAGGGCCTTCTAAAATTCCGAGGACTTTCTGTACTGATTATGATACCAACAGCAATCAGGGTTATCTGTCTCTCGTAATCTAGAGACAGGCAGCTTCTCTGAAAAGCTATGGGGAGTTGAGGAGCGTCTACGGTCATGACGAATACTAAGGTAACGTATCAGACTTCTGTGACGTCATTCCGTGCCGTTAAATGTTTTTCTTTGACTTCGGCGTTTGAAGTTCTGGTGAATAACAGAATCTAGTCGACAGATAAAGCCAGTTCATCCTCAGCGTTGTTATGATATGAGACAAGAACTGTTTGAACCTGATGGGCAATCTAAAATGAGAAAAGTTGTCTAAATAGGCTCTTGTCAAAGGTCCATCGGCCAGTGACCTCTCACATTCGTAGTAACATCTCTGTTGCTGAGCCATATTGTAGACAGATGTTGTTGAAGAGTTGATGTAACCTCTGTTGACTGGTTGCGAAACATCACTAGCGAACATACTAGGTGTGATGCATTTGTTGAAATCGCGCAGTATTTGAGACTGTACCGTTTACTTTAAATGCCATCGCGTTAATAGGTTCGAGTCCTGGAGTGAACATCAACTGTGAGATGCAGGTACATCCAATTAACGAGTTCCAGATAGGACGAAATCCGTGTCCTCGATTCCAATTCTGGCCACTATTCATCTTTGCTTAAAAAGCTTGTGACTTAGGGCTATATCGAGGCTATCCGCACAGAATGCATATATGCCTACATGAGACTGATCAATTGCAGTCATAAATAACAATTGGAAGATATAAGTAAAACAACACCAAGGGAATTTACTTTACTAATAATTCTGGCGATAATCTAGTCACTACACTTAAATTGAATTAAATTTCCTACTATACCAATATCTCGTGAAATACCATTTGTATTTAAGATAGTTTTCTAAATCGTGCAGTTTCCCTATTTAACGAAGTGATGTTTTTAAACAATTTGAAGGAGTAAATTTTAAGTAGAGGTTTATAATACAAACTGGATATTCCATAGGAAGTTGTTTTCCTCATCATCTTTGTAGCCAACACTACTGTTACATCATTCAAAAAAGTTTCACTTTTATTAGTATATCATAATCAGGTCGTATTTCTACTGAAATAAAGTTCTAATGGAGACATTTGTGGGAAAAAGAAGCATCTCTAAGATCCAATCGACACAAGAATAAATCTCATTTGTAAGAAAATACTGTCGATCCACTTGTTTTTTTCTCTATGAACAACATTGACTTATTTGTAATCCTTGTAGAATAGTTAAATAGTTAAATCATGTTTATGTGATGATTAGGTATATTTGAATTATAGTACAAACTTAGAATCTCAGAATTAACTCAATTGAATCAAGAAGTACTGTAGTGAACAGGAACACCAGTGGGAACAGGCGAACGTAATTGACACAAAATTACAGGACTTGTTAATAAAATCTAACAATCATAAAGTAAATGTTTAATTTGCGAAATGTCCATCAATTGTCACATAATGACTCAGACTTTATTGTTCTTGCATTTTCATACAAATTGCATTCTATTTCCATTCTTTACTGTTTGATCCTCTTGTCTCTCTGTTGCCAGACATTTTGTTCACGACTAACGTTATATACTACTTACGTCGATATAAGTAGCACACACCACAGTACTAGATAGGCACGAACGAATGTACTGTATTTGGAATTTGAAATCAAACGTTCAACAAGTATAAAGGAATCGTTAGTTCATACAAACACCAGAAAAAGTATTGATCTATTTTTTAATTGTGAACATATATATAACAAGGAGATTGTTTTCACTTCAATTACGTAACAATTTTCTTTAGTGTTAAACAAATAAAGAAACTCAAAGAATGACTCGTCATAACTATTTATAAGCTTAGTAACTAAATAAATATACCAGGAGAATGATAATAAATATATTTTGTTTTATCGTTATATCCTAATGAGTAGAACAAAAACTGTATTTCTGACGTTTCGTCACTTAATGTAAACCACGTCCTCAGGGTAAACAAATAACTAAATATTAAATTAATACAAGTTTAAATAGTACCAAAGTGACCAGATGACTATTTATTCGATATTTTATTTGTTCGCAATATGATAATGGTTTAATATTATTGTAAAACCTATCAAGTATTTTTACCTAACTGAAGATATTGGATTCGAGTTAATACTTTAGTAACAAATTAAAAGATTTATCATTCATAAAATGTACTGATGTACTGTTAAGAACAGGAATATTCAGTTAGGATTGAACAATTATTTTATGATTGAATTCATGAGTCAATTGAAGCTAGACCATCATGGAAAACTTGGAAGCACTGGGAGGCCGCCTCGTTCTATTGTGCGAATCCTCCTTGGCAGTGTGCATCTACGATCCCGCCTCGCGGGATTTGAACCCAGTGCCTATCAATCTCGCGCGCAAGCACTTAAGCACTAGACCATTGAACTTGGCGGCATCCAATGGTGTTAATGTCTAACTTCAGTCGATCCATGAAATGGAGCCACTGCACGTCAGTTCAGTGCTTCCAAGTTTTCCGTAATGGTCAAGCTTTAATTGACTCATGAATTCAACTAATAAATTACTAAACTCTTCACAAACCCTCACTCTGATAAGAATCATCATGTGCTCACTAGTGACGGTCTCCAAGAGATATCTCCAGGAGTTCCAGTGAGAAGCAGTGACTAGTAGAGTTCAATCGGGTCAGTTGTGAGATAGTTACTCAATGATGACAATGGTAGATGTGTCGCTCAATTTCTTGGATTAGTTGAAGTTAGACATTATCACCATTGGATGCCCCTCAAGTTCAGTGGTCTAGAATTGAAGCGTTCGCACGCGAGACCGATAGGTCGTGGGTTCGAATCCACTAGGCGGAATTATGGATGTGAACTACCAAGGAGGATTCCCATACTAGGACGAAACGGACATGCAGTGCTTCCAGGTTTTCCATAGCGATCTATCTTCAATTGACTCTCACCTACTAAACATTACTAATAATATCCACACACACCCTCCCACTTCAGAATATAATTATTTATAAATGATGAAACTAAGAAATTGTATCCTCTTTCATAAATAGATGAAAAACAAATAAATACATATGATTATTCAATCACGAAAAGTAAACTTTTTGTACTTGTCCTCCCCCTCCTCCTCTTACCCCTACCCCTTACTCTTTTATTTTTCTATATTATTAGTTTCATTGAAATTTGATCTTGTTTACTTTTGATCCATTAAAAAACAAAAAAAACAGGTAAAGAAAAACGCCAATCTAATGTAAATAAGAAACTGTTTAAATAAACTATGGAATATTCCTATAAATTATGAATATTTCATTAAGACATTTGATAAACAATCCATTCTATACATTGATAATATGATGAATACAATGATAGCTGGGTTTGTCTGCATATTCATATGCTTAATTGGAATAAATGGTAAGTACTTTAAGTTGATGATAGTTTTATAATAATTAACTTAATTTATAATCATAATGATGAATCCAACATCAGTATAATCATAAATATAACTAAACCATACAATGTGTTGAAGAATGATGGATTTTCAGTAGTATGTTTATATTTGAAAACCTTATTCACAAATATGTGAAACAAATCGGTAAACCTCACTTTATTGCATAAGCAACTGGCTATAAGGACTCAATAGCTAAGTATATAACGCGATGGCGTTTGAAGCGAACGATACTGGGTTTGAGTTCCTCAGTGAACATCAACTCTGGGATACAGGTACATCCAGCTGACAAGTACCAAATAGAACAAAACACCCGTGAAACTGGATTCCACTGCTAGCCATTGTCCACCTGTGCTTATAATGCTCATGAATTAAGGCAATATCGTGGTAATACACACAGTATGAACATATGTCAATAATAGACTGATCAGTTACAGTCTTAACTAACAATGAAAAGATTCAAGTAAACAACACTAAGTGAATTTAAATTGATAAATTAGTTGCATTCAAAGTATCAATTTATCTCGTATGATGTTCATAAGGGAGAATAAAGTTGCATGTAAAATGTCTTTCATATTTAGTGACTAATTGTTACCGATTGATTGATTTCAGCTAATACAGTTCCAAGTGAGTCTACACATGAATTTTCCACTTACTATAACAACAACAATCTTTGCAATATAACAAAGTACAAAGGAAATCGATGTCACTCAGAAACTGGTAAACATATTACTTCTGACTAGTATTTTGACATCACTGTTATATTCGTTGTGTTGATGATCGATGATGGAAGACAAATGTATCCAATAAGAACTAGAATACTAATGTTCTTCAATGTGATTGACAAACAATGAATGTAAATTTGATTGAATGGATACTACTGGATGAACTGGAATGAAGATAGTATTGGATTAACATCAGATTTAGACTTGTTTGCAAATGAATTGTTACTCATTTTGACACTAGCACGTAGAATTACCATTTGAGTGTATTAGAATAAAAATAACACTGATAGTAGAATATTCAGCAAGTGTATTTTAGTGAAGTCCAACTTGGACTGTATGAAACTGGTCTGATCTGTATTGTATTGTTATGAATATAAACTTTCTAGAGTGTCTATTCGTCGGCATATCTCAATTATTTATACATCAAAACAGTAATGGAATATCATTAACAAATAAACAGGTAGATAGATAGATAGAAAACCAAACAAAGGAATATTGAAAAGATTCACATATGAGACATTCGTATTAATCATACAACCAAGCACGAGTTAACTAACAGAATTGAACTGATGCATTTGACAATTATATGCCCGGTTACAATTGAATCTGGACCACTATGGAAAACCTGGAAGCACTGGACGACCGTTTTATCCTAGTGTGCGACTTCTCAACAGTGTGCATACTTGATTCCACCTCGCTAGATTCAAACCTAGGACCTATCAGTCTCACGCGTGAACTCTTAACCTCTAGACCACTGTACTTGTCAACATACAATGGTGTTAATGTCTAACTTCAATTAATCCACGAATAATAAATAAATGTGGAAGTATGTATAACACAAATTTCAATATGGAACATGATATGAAGTCTATTTAACTTATTAAAATTACATTTGAATGGAATATATGATGTACTGGTGGGTAGCCTATTCTCCTTCACAAAGAGTAACAGGCGTAATTAAATAGTACATAAGGAATACATAATAACATGTAAATCATTTAGGTAAGAACTATTCATCAATTTAATAGAAGGATCCTAAACTAAACAGTTAAATGATGTAACCAACTTTACAAATCAGTACAATGTATTGTATACTTTCAGGTTTTCAATGTGCTGAAAAACTTATATACATATCTATACAATTAAAATGTGGTGTATTATCATTCAACGAAGTGATAACGATTACGTTCAACAGGAAGTGATGAGGTCTATTTTCCTCAAGATAACTACTGTTGGATTACTAGTAGTGATTCCTTTATATCATGATAGATAGGCTACGGGCCCAGTTATTGTATTGATAATTTAATCTGTACATATTAGGATTCTTATTAAAATTGTGATTATTTGAATTTCAGCTACAAAACCACATCCTGTCAGTAAGTTGATCATTATCATACGGTGTCATGTTACCTTTTTGAATTTCGTGCCTTGATGAATCATCTTGAGGTGTAAGTTAGAAAACTGTGAGATTTGAAAGAAAAATAGTAACATATGAGCTAGATGATCTTAAATGCAAATGAATAGTTTATTTGTATCATACAATTCAACAGAAGGGGGTTTGAGGGATCGTGGATGCGCAGTGTTGAGGAGTTCCACAATAGGACGAAACAACCGTCCAGTGCTTTCAAGTTTTCCATAATGATCTAGCTTCAATAGACTCATGATGTCAACTATTAAAATTCAATATTACTTTAAAAATGAAACGAATATCATTTAAGAAAGTTTTGCTGGAGTTTTCTTCTCTGAGCTGGATGGTTTGGTCATGGAGCTTTCATCATTCTTCTGGACGAAATCATCAGCACAAACTTCAGGTAGAAGTGAAGTGTTCAAATTTCTCCACTTGTGGTTCACAGTTTTTCCTGTGGACCTCGATGTTTATTGGTTCATGCTGACCTTAAACCTATCATTGTTTACTTGTTTGTTTTGGTTGTATCTCCCATTGGTTTGATTTTTGTTTCTGTGCTGATGATGTCGTTCAGAAGGACGATGAAAACGCCACGACCAAACCATCCAGCTCAGAGAAGAAAACTCTATCAATATCATCCAGTTGAGCTACAAATCTCCTCCATCATTTCAAAATCAGAAAAGTATTTAATATTTGTTATGAATTAAGATAAAGTTGAGCTGTCTATTGGATTTTAGATGATTTTACAAAAGGCAACAATTGAACAGTCCATTGAAACTATATATTTGTAAGGATGTGAATTATAGATACAGGGAAAGATTGGATCATGTCCAACATAGAAATTTATATGATCAAGTAGTTCAAAGTACTTTATAGATAAGAAATATCTTTCTATTTCTGGAATATGACCTGACATAATGATTGTAACAGGTTTATTCTACGAATTAACCGTGTAATGAAATACAGTTATGTACTGAGAAAGTGTAAGAGTTTTTTCGTCACTGATTTAAAAACTCATCAAGTCTGAGACGCAGGTATTTCAAGCTGATGAATCCCATATAGGACGAAACATGTCTCAAGCAGGATTCCACAGCTAGCCACTATCCATCGTCGTTTATAATGAATGCGAATTAGGACTTTATCGAGGTAATACGCACAAGATGCACATATGCTAACAAGGGAGAAAGAGACTGATCAATCGCAGTCCTAAACATCAATGGAAAGATTCAAGTAAATAATAACTAGTGAATTTAATCATCATATTTGTTTAACTAATCTCAAGCTGTAAAAAATTCTACACCAGGTAAGTGATCAAGTTAACACAAAATATTAAACCAAACTTTATTCTTTGTCTTTTTATATTTTTTCACAAATTTTTTCTTGTACACAAGTATTTCTTGGAAGTGAATGTCATTTACTTATTTACGTATGTCTGTTACCCCCAACGGAGAATAGGCCACCAACCAGCATTCTCCAACTCACTCTATCCTGGGCCTTCTTTTCTAGTTCTATCCAACTTTTGTTCATTCTTCTCATGTTTGTCTCCATTTCTCGGTGTAATATGTCCTTTGGTCTTCCTCTTCTCCTTTGACCTTGAGGACTGTAAGTAGGAGCTTGCTTTGTGACGCAGTTGAGTGCTTTCCTTAATGTGTGTCCTATCCATCTCCAGCACTTCTTCTTTATTTCTTCCTCCGCTGAAATCTTGTTTGTTCTCTCTCACAGTAGGTTGTTGCTAATAGTGTCCGGCCAACGGATTAGGAGTATTTTGCGTAGACAACTGTTAATAAACATCTGTATCTTCTGGATGATAGGTTTCGTAGTTCTCCAGGTTTCTATCTCATGTAGTAGAACTGTCTTGACTAAAAACACTACTCAAGCTATTACGAATCAACTAATTCATAGAAACAAAGAAGGTTTAGATCCCACATGATCCTACATGAATTGGAGTCATGATGAAACTATTTGCATGTTAAGTAATAAGAATGAAAACATGAAATGAGTTTTTTACTTGCACCAGCTCCCCTGAAGCTAGTCTTTGTTGTCCATATCTGTCCAATGTGTTTCACTGATTTCAAACATCTCCAGGTTGTATCATTTTATCTCTGCAGCAACTTGGATGACTCTCCCGGTCTTCCACATTGTAAGAGTATTCCGTGTACCTGAACCAATTGTTGCTCTGGTTGCCAGAAAGGGCATCAGCCTCGTCACTTCCAAAGGAACTCGGCTTTTACCATAAGACGTCGTAACTCTTCAAAATAAAGACCTTTTAAATACGGTTAGCGTTCATTTAGCGAGTTAGTTTTCTACAGGATGGGGTCGCTAATCCCATGTTTAACCCTCCTCCCTTATCCGGGCTTGAAACCGGCAGTGGCCCCAGAGGTGCCCCAGGTGGAGTTAAACAAGTTTATTAGCTAGTCCATTAATGATGAGCACTGCTGATACTGGATAGTTCCATTGAATGCTTTTCATATGAAGTATATTATTTAATGTGAACAGAGTAACTTTGATATTTAAATTTCTTGCACCGATCTAACTATGTGAATACGGATAAATTGGAAATAAGCTTTTAATTAATATTAGTATCATTCAATTCATGTTATGAATGCATCAATCTAATTATATTTCAGTCCATCATGAAGAAGGTATGTTATTTATTCAGTTTTTCTTGTATTCTGTGTTTCTTCTTTTTTGAAAATTCAAACTCTACAGTGAAGAACTAATAAACCATTTGTTCTTTGAAGAAGTGGCTTACATTGAGTGACGAAATGTCAGATAATTTATTTCTTCTACTCAATGAGATATCCACAACTATATTGATTAATTAATTTATAACAGTCTAACCAATGTTCAATTTATTTGAAATTTGACATGTGGCTGTATTTTGTGAGTTGGTTTAAGTTAGACATTAACGCCGTTCGATTCTGCCAAGTTCAGTGGTTTAGAGGTTAAGTGTTCACGCGTGAGACTGACAGGTCCTGGATTCGAATCCCTCAGGGTGGAATTGTGGATGCGCACCGTTGAGGAGTCTCAAAATAGGACGAAACTGTCGTCCAGTGCTTCTATTGATTCATGACTTAAACTATTAAATTACCATAATATCCACAAACATCTCTTCTGATAATAATCATCATATGCTCACTAGTAACTATCTTCAAGGGGTATTTTCTGGAGTTGTAGTGGGAGGCAGTGACCAGTGGAGTTCAACCGGGTCTGTTGTGAGATAGTAACTTGCTGAAGACAATGGTGGACTGTGGCACAATATGATTCACTGGTTGAAGTAAGACATTAAGAGTGTTGGATGTGAGCTCTGTGATCTAGAGGTTAAGCATTTGCGCGCAAGACCAATATCTCGTCAATTTGAATCAAAAGGGACAGGATCGTGATTGCGCACTACTTAGGAGTTCCATACTACAACGAAATGGTCGTCAAGTACTTCGAAATTTTCAATAGTTCTAACATTGATCCCATTCATCATATCAATCTACTACTTAATAGTCTTCACAGTTCTATACATAATGATATTCCGGATGAATAATTTTTTTTAAAAATTTCATTTAAACAAGTTAATTGAGGTTAATGTTTTGACCAATATTATGATAGAATCATTTTTTAAGCGTGAGTTTACTTTGTTAGTTAATAAGCATAAATTTATTAGATTAAATGAATATATACACTAAAAGATCTTTATGGTTTAATAATATACAAATATTCATCAAGATTAGAACAAATAGTTCAACAAAAATTGGGCACCAAGTATAGACTAGTCATTGTGATGGAGTTTTGTTCTCTGAGCTAGATGATTAGGTCATGGAACTTTCATCGTTCTTCTGAACGACATCATCAGCACAAACTTCAGATAGAAGTGTCATTGTATATCATTATATGGGTAATGATTATCTTAAAGAAGTTCAGACAAGGTGGATGGACGAACCGTTGTCACATATAATAAGACATCTTCATATTAATGGTTAGTTTCTATGGTCAATGAATGTCTTGTTATGCAGTTGACATGAATTGTGATTTATACTTTCCAAAACCATTTTTTTAAATAGTTTAATTAAGTGTTTTCGTTGAGATATTTAGAAAGTCTATGTAGAATGTTGAAAGTGCTTCAACAAGTAAAACCACCGATTTTCCTTCGTCTACAGTTTTGCCAAATATATATTTTATTAAAATGAGCACCGTTTTTGCACCACTGGTGTGTTATTTATTTTGTGAAGCAGTGATAGATTGTGGGTAGCAGTAGAATCCAGGATAGGTGTTTCGCCCCATTTGGGACTCGCTAGCTTGATGTATGTACATTGGAGTTGATGTTCACTCCAGGACTCGAACCCAGTACCGTTCGCTTCTAATCCCATCACGCAGTCCACTAAGCTATCGAGTCTAGATAGTCACTAGCATGTGCAACGGGGTGAAGTTTAATTCATTTTTGTATTGATTTTTTGCATCTTCCCAATAATATTTAGGACTTTAATTGATTAGTCTGTTATTGAAGTATGTGCATGTTGTACGGGATGCTACAATATTGCCTTAAGTTACAAACATTAAAAATAGATGATGGGTACAAAATAGGACGAAACGCGCGTCCTAAATTCTACTGCTAGCCACTATCCATCTTTGCTAATAATGTTTGTGACTTAAGGCAATATCGTGGTAATCCGTACAGGATGAACATATTCAAACAACAGACTGATCATTCTCACTCCTAAACATCACTGGGTAGATGCAAATAATTAGTGCAAAGATGAATTAAGTGAGTACAGTATTTGTTTACCGGTAACATAGGAAATCTAGCAGAGTTTTAACCTCTAAAAATATCTGCTACCAGTATAAAAGTCTTTAAAAAGACAAAAATAGCAACCCTTTCTACTCTGAGTTCATACAATTTTATTGCTAATTCTGAATTCATATTTTTGCGCGACGACCGCTAAACTATTAGACCAATTGGTTAGGATCTAACAGTACATATTTGCAAATCCAATGTTAATAGCGAATATTGTCTTAATTCTGACCTCAGCAACTCGTCAAAATGTTCTAGCTTTAATTAGTGACATCCTAAGATCGTTCTTCTATAGTCCGAGTTCGTTGAAGTTGGGAATATGTACCATTAAATCCAAACCTAGTGGTTCAATGGATGAACGGACTTTGTGAGAGTTGAAGATCTTAGTTTAAATCCTTTAAGACAGTTAGAGGATGCACTGCCGTTTATCTCTGTACTGGCAGGTGGCAAATCCCTAATGCTATCTGACTTTTAATAGCACCCTAACTGAGTTCAGCCAATGAAAAATACTATTTACACATTTATTGTGATAACTAATCTACCCAATCTGCATCAGTATATGTCTAGTGTAATATTTGAAGTAGTATTGCTTATTATTTGATAACAGTAAACGATCATTGAACTCTATTGTTAAAACCCTGTATAGATTTTTCATATCTGCTACTTGAAATTATTTATCTCAATGAAATTTGCAAATATTGTTTTTCATCCTAATGAGATTCAAGTCAGTCATGTCTATTTATAGAAGTCAAATTAAATGAACAGTAATAAGTATATTTTGGACGGTGGAGCAACTTCGTGGATTAGTTGAAGCTATACATTAACACCGTTGAATGCCTCCAAGTTCATTGGTATAGAGATTTAGCGTTCACACGCGAGACCAATTGGTCCTGGGTTGGAAGTTCACTAAGCGGGATCGTTGAGTTCCATACTAGGATAAAACGGCAGTCCGGTGCTTCCAGGTTTTCCATAGTGGTCTAGCTTCAATTGACTCATGAATTCAACTATGAAATTACCATAATATTCACAAAAACCCTTCTCTGATAATAAATGAATAGTAATAAGTATATTGTGTTAAACGTAATACCTTCCAACAGTTTAGTTAAACATTTAGACTCTTTCAACTAGCATATTTAGCTAATGAGTTTCTTCAATTATAAACTGAAATTCATGTAAAGAATTTACTAAATGAGATAAGTAAATATCTAGATGCTTAGTAATAAACAGTGTTCTTTTGTTTCAGGTACGTGGCATAAATGTAAGTGAATGTTCATCAAAAAGTCTACCAAAATATCTTAAAACTCTATATGAATATCTTGGACACTTATTTGTGCAATGAGGGTGAAGTTTAATTCATCTTTGTATTGATTGTTTGAATCACTCCGATGATGTTTAAGATTGCAACTGATCGATTCATCATTGGAGTATGTGCATCCTTTGTGAATTACCTCGATATAGCCTTAAATCACAAGTTTTATAAGTAAAGATGGATAGTGGCTAGTAGTGGAATGCAGAAGGCGCATTTCGTACTATTCGGGACTCGTCAGCTGGGTGTACCTGTGTCGCAGAGTTGAGGTTTACTCCGAACTCCAGCTGACGAGTCCTAAATAAGACGAAACGCGCGGCCTGGACTCCACTTCTAGCTATTATCCATCTTTGCTTAGAGTGTTTGTGATTTGAGGCTATATCGATGCAATCGATACAGGATGTACATGTGCCAATAAGAGAGAGACTGATCAATTGCAATACTAAACACCAATGGGAAGATACAAGTGAATTGAAATTCGCTAAGATAATTGAACATAATTTGAACACTATATGTCAGTTTCATAGAATAACCTCACATCATCATGAAGTATTTTAACAAGTTTTCGTTTCTTACTTGTTGATCGATCCTGACGATAAATATTGAGTGATCACCAATTAGAAGTTAGTAGTTCAATCAATCGACATCTGAATAATGTATATTGTTTTCAGTGCATAATGCCAGGACGATATCTCTGATTGCACCGTTTGTAACTTGTACAACGAAAGTTTGTATACTTCTCAGAAACGGACTTGAATAGGTTATCCGATTAATAGACATAATGATGTAATAAAACAAACAACAATCGATAACTTGTTGAAGTATCTAGATTGCAAGAACAAATAGCCCAAATGTTCAAGAAAGCTTTCAAGTTGTTGAATAGCATTGAATCATAGGGGGAATTTCTAGCTTAAACGTGTAATCTGAAGAATTACTTGAGAATGAAATGTTGAAGAATATTTCATAGATGGATTGATTACACATAAAGTGTACCATAGATACAGCACATTTCTACACAAACATGGCAGACTATTATCAAGTGAATGGAATGATTCAACTTCTTGAATTGATAGCTGAATTGAAGTCTTCAGTAACCTATTTTAATTTCAGAAAAACATCATATGTCATCATTTGAGGTTGCTTTAAGCCTTCAGCCTTATTAAATTACACATCTCTTCTACACAGATATCGAGGTCTGATCATGATATTACTAAGTCAATGGCTACAGCATAAACCAGTTGTATTTCGAGAAAACCTGCATATTTGTGTCATAATACTGTAGACCATCATCATTACTACCAACACATTAGAACTGAAATATCTCAATGTTTGCTTAAAGTATCACATTCGTTATAGATTTCATACAGATTATTAGATTAGCTTTGCTGTAATTTGACAGATGAAGGCAATCAATGTTAATGGATACAAATACTGACCAACTGACTGTTTTATTCCACCCCCAAAAAGTTGTACACTCTGAGGTGTAATCATTTGGTTTCTTTATTTATTAACTGCACATCATTATTGTACTTTCACATTTCAGTTACTTCCATGTTTGGATCTTCAGACAGCGACCGTAAGTATATTGTATTCAACAGATTGATTAGTGGAAATGAGACCACTGAACATCAACCAACATAATGAATCATAATGCTTAATTATTCAGTCTAGTGAGAAACATTTATCATGATTAATAATTAAATAACGGTAGTGAATTGATAAAAGCCGAATACAGCTTCTAGTAGTACCCGTTCTCATTTTTAAAGCATTATTACAATATAGTATACATTAGTTCTGTGTGTTTTCAACAAACTATTTGACTTTACAAGCAGTATCATTGATAGTGATACCTAGTCGACCCATTCATTAGTTGGAAGTTTTATCAAAATTAACATATAATTATGAATAACCATTGGAGACCGATAGGTCCTAGGTTCGAATCTTGCGGGGCGGGTTCGTGGATGAGTACTGCCAAGAAGGAGTCCCATAATAGGACAAAATGGCCGTCTAGTGTTTCCAGGTTTTCCATGATGGTCTAGCTTTAATTGATTCATGATCTCAACTACTGAAATTATTGGGAATGCGTTGTACGAAGTTATTATCATCCTGTTCATGAAACTGTTTGCACAGTCTGTTGTTGATCAACTTATTCCCTCTCACAAAAATGATAATCGAAATCAATAGAAAAATTGGGTTGCTTCAATTTTTATTTAAATAGAAACATTTCGTTTGCTTTACCTAACAGAATTTAGACATAAAACAGCAAATAGACTAAAAATGTATTATATGCAAAAATGGATAGTGATTAGCAGTGGGACTCGGCGCCTGCATGTACCTACATCTCACAGTTGATGTCCACTCTACGACTCTAACCCAGCATTCTTCGCTTCAAACGTCATCGTGTTATTCACTTAGCTACTGATTCTTGATAGCCACTTGCTTGTGTAATTGGGTGAAGCTTAAATTCCCTTGTAATTATTTACTTGAATCTTCCGATTGATGTTTATGACTGCAATTGATCAGTCTGTTGTTGGCATATGTTGGCATCATATGCAGAATACCTCAATATAGTTTTAATTCAAAAGCATTCTAAGCAAAGATGGATAGTGGCTAACAGTGGAATCAACATCTATGGGAAGATTCAAGGAAAATAATACCAAGTGAATACAAATTTATTGGTAATTTTCTATTATGAACCACTTCAAATTGATTGACCCTGTTATTGTTTATTATTTTACTTAACAACATTTCAATTTCGATTTCTAGCTAAAACGAATGAAAATCGTAAGTTATTGTGAAAATTAGATATATGAGACTAATTTCATCAACATAAATGAACGTTGTAACTAAGCGGTACCAAGATATCATATCAGCGAATTTCCATATTGAATCATCTACCGTATCTTTCAGATTTGATCACGAATTTATTCCAACTAAATAATTCTTACTTATTACTTACTTACTTATTTAAGCCTGTTACTCCCAATGGAGTATAGGCCACCGACTCGCATTCTTCAACCCACTCTGATCTGGGCCTTCCTTTCTAGTTCTATCCAATTGTTGTTCATTCTTCTCATTTCTATCTCCATCTCTCGGGGTAATGTGTTCTCTGATCTTCCTCTTCTCCGTTGACATTGAGTATTTCATATGAGGGCTTGCCATGTGACGGCTCATTCATTTTTTAACTACCTGTGTTAACGATATGGTTTATGAATGATAACTTGTTCACATTATAGTTGAATGATAATTAAACTAAATTGTTGTTCGAACTATCGACTCAGCACATTATACATATAACTTACAAAAGGTATTATTCAATCAATAGTTGTGTTAATGTGTGTTGTACTGCAAATCATCAAACTGCATTACTAGGCAAGCCCTAATTTGGAATTCTGAAGGGAAGCGGAAAAGAGAAAAGCCAAAGAACATATTACGTCGGGAAATAGAAGTAGATATGAAAAAGATGAATAACGACTAGAAAGAATTGCCCAAGACAAGGTTCGATAGCGAGTACTGGTGTGTGGTCTATGCTCCTGCACGAGGAGTAACAATCGTAAGTAAGTAAGTAAGCACTGTATTCCTGATTATGATTATCAGTCTATGTTTATTGTTCATGCTAACGGGACGAAATTGAAACTGATGCATAAAATATGTGTGATAATAGTGAATGATCTTGACTGACTTGATAATTGGATTGAAAAATCACAACTATTTTGTTATTTATGAGTTTTATCTTGACAATAAGTCAATTTGATGTTTTTGTTCGATCTCAGCACATATAAGTACCGTTAAGGTTGAAAGTCGTAAGTAATAATAGACATGAAATTCATTTGATTGTCTAGATCATCAATGTCTATATAGGTAGAATGATTTGTTTTGCCAACTGTTTACTATTGTTTGTCATTGATTTCTGTAGCAAAACGCTGAATAATCTTTAGCATTGTGATATATAACTGATGCTCTATTGAAGAAGGTTCCATAGTTTCATTTTATTGTTCCATTATAGATGTTCAGTATTCTGACTTCATTGTTAAATAAATCTATTTTATTAATTATTTTTGTCAATTGGGTTTATTGTTGTCTAATGTAACGTTTTTATGAATTGAAACGTTTCTAGTCTCGCTTAAAGAAAGTGAGTTTTTCATATTCGAGAAATTGTTTACGTTAAGTCAACTTAAATTTTAATTGTTGAATTCATGAGTCAATTGAATGTAGACGATTATGAAAAACCTGGAAGCACTGGACAGCTGTTTCGTTTTAGTGCGGGACTCCTCAGCAGTGCGCATCAACGATCCCTCCATCGAGGTTCCAACCCAGGATTTAGCATTCTAGCACGCGAGCGCTTAACCACTAGACCGATGAACCTGTAGGCATCCAATGGTGTTAATGTACAACTTCAACCAATCTACGAAGTTGCACCATACTGAATATTTATAAGTGCTATAAGTTACTATTAGTCTATCATGCTATAATGTCCAAGTTATCTTGTTTTTTCTAACATCAAATTATAATCTGAAGATAGTTATGACAACATTGAAATCATAGGTTTACCAGGAAAATCAATTGCATATAGCTAGAACTTATAATCTTGATATTAGTAGTAACTATGATTTGCTCAATAAATCTAGTAGCCATCTACTTATGCTATGCCCCTTCGCCCATTTATTTATTCTAATCTACTTTGAATCTACACCTTGTTCAATTTATCTAATTGAATTGATTTATCCTTTATGATCAGAACCTACTAATCAATTGCTCTGAATGTAGATTTCTTCTTCTTTCCTTTTTGCTTATGACATTTTTCATTCATTAAAAACGATGAAACTTTGATCATCAACAGGCATTGATTATAAACAATAAGGAATTGAGCGTTTCTAAGATGTATACAGATTTTTGATTTTGCTCAATTTCTAGCAAAGCGATAACATCATTCAATGGATAGGCTTTAGCAGTGGAATCCAGGACAAGCATTTCGTCTTATTTGAGACTCATCAGCTGGATGTACCTACATCTCAGAGTTGATGTACTCTCTGAGATTTCACTTAGTTACTGAGCCTTGATAGCCAATATAATTAGTTGATATCACTATTTATTATTGATTTCTTCCAACTCATATATTAGATCTAGTAAGGTCAACCTCAAAGAAATCGATAAATGGAACGAATCTATATCCAAAAATTCCCCCTAAAATAGTTAACTAGTTCTGTTAGTTATCTTAAAGAGACTATATATGTGGAACGGGTTAAGAATCAGTAATGATTTAGAGAATAATTTCCCGAAATGTATATTTGAAATGATCTCATGTATTCTGTTTGTTTTCATATTCTAGGGATTGTCAATAAATGTAAGCAGTTTGCTTGGATGTTATTTGAAAGCCTTTATATCGAAAACTAACGTTGTACCCTGGAACATAACCATAGAAGAAGTTATTAAAAAGAATGTAATTTCATCTCTACAGTTTAAGAAAAGCAGAAAGTTGTAGAATACTTATCATTTATAGTGATTATCCAGATATAGTGATATTCATTATACTCAAGAAGCACATGTATTAAAAAAGATCACATATTTTGGATGAAAGTGAATGAGTGTTACTATTTATTCATTCATTATTTGAATACATAAATATTAGTATATAAGACGCACCGAATGCATATGCGCTTCACAAGTCACTTGAGTTGTGTGTATGGGCTACAGTCTCATGGTAGCCGGTGACCATCGATTGGTTCGTACGCCATTTATTCCCTCAGGATCCTGGAATCCATGTGCATCATTGGTTTGGAATCAAGGACATCCAACTCCCTTAGGTAGATCCACCATACCCGCCAATTCGGTTAAGTCACCGTACATTCTCTTTTCGTCTACACAACAGTAATGCCGTGAGAAGACAATGAGTAAGACTTTTCTGTCATTGGCTGTATACGCGTGGTCATGTGGGAGTATTTGGAGAGGGACAGCTAACTCTCCTCACTTTCGACCGTACCAAGGCATTGAATTCGGAAATTCACAATATTTTTTATGATATATCGATTAAGTAATTCGCTCATGTAGTCATAGAAACATCACCTAGTCAAATATCAAAACAATAATGATAATCATCAGAATGAAGTATCACAAATGCATCACCTACTTACAGTCATCTATGATATTGTTTTAAACAAAACAGTAGAAATTCTTACTATTTTACATTTAATTGTAATAAAACACAGTTTCTTTGTATTCTGAAATGGATACGTGTACATCTACGGATTTCAAGAAAACAATGATCTTGACTAATTGTATTCCTTACTCACTTACTTACACCTATTACTCCTCGTAGAGGAGCATAGACCGCCCAAAAGTCCACACTTGACTAATTGTATCAATATGTTAAGTATTGTTGTCATACATAAGAAGAGCCTTGTTTATTATAACAGTCATTTACGAACAAATAGTCACTAATTTTTCTATTTATTATTCTACTTTATAGTCAACAGTATTTTTGGAGAAGAAGGTATGACTTTTCAAGTGATTTTTAGCTGGATAATTTATACTCTGGAACAATATATTTCATTCCATTTTGATGAATCTTTATGTGAAGTTATTTGTGAAGAAAATAAGCAGAGATAGATAGCAGTGGAATTCAAGACGCGTGTTTCGTCGTATTTGGGACTCGTCAGCTGGATGTAACTGAATCTCAGAGTTCATGTTGACTCTGCTACCCAAACCTAGTACCGTTTGCTTAAAACGCCATCGGGTGATCCACTTAGCTACTGACTTCTGATAACCACATTACTGAATCCCACTACTAGCCATTGTCTATCATTGCTTAGAATGCTTTTGAATTAAAACAATATCGGGGTATGCCGCACATGATGCATATATGCCAACAAGAGACTGATCAATTTCAGTCCCAAATATCAATCGAAAGATTCAAGTAAATAATTTCAAGTGAATTTAAACTTCACCCAATTACACAAGCAAGTGGCTATCAAGACTCAGTAGCTAAGTGGATTACACAATGACGCTTGAAGCGAATAATATTGGTTTAGTGTCTCAGAGTGGACATCAACTGTGAGATGCACGTACATGCAGGTGCCGAGTCCCGAATAGGACGAAACGCGCATTCTGGATTCTGGTTCGAGCCACTATCCATCTTTGCTTAGAATACTTGTGCATTAAGGCAATATCGAAGCAATCGGTACAAGATGTATATATTCCAATAAGAGGGAGAGAGAGACTGATCAATTACAGTCCTAAAACAACACCAATGGAATATAAATCAATAAAATGTCTTTACATAAAGAATAATAATTTCACATAGTAACTAAAATAGATTCTAATATTAATATTCCATTATGAAACATTTTTAACCTCATTCATTTAGTTCCTTAATTCTCTAAAAATTACAATGTTTAATGTTTATTCTATAGAATACAATCCATCTAAAGACAGGTTAGTCGACATTTATGACTATATTCTTTGTATTTCTTCTCTTCTAAGATGTTATAATGAAAACATAGTTTTCTCTGAGGAATATACCATAGACAGGCTTAGTAATTGTTTAGACATTAACTTTGTTCTATGGTAACTAAGATTAAACAATGAAGGAACAAGGTGATCTATAGGTGGTGGTTAAACAACTAGTATCATTTATTGTAATAAACACTTAGGTAGTTGTCATGAGTTTAGTTATTCAACTGTTAGTGAATATCCATTTCAGTGAATGATCATGTTTTTGGTTAATTTGGGTTCAGGATGCATTTCAGTACAAAATAAGGTATATGTTGTTTGTCATTTATCATAAGTATAGTAGTTGAACGATCATAAAGATCGAATATTTCTTAATGAATTTAACCTTTGTAATGTATTAATGAATCAGGTAGTTCTAGTGACTAAACCTAGAGTTTTATCATTGGAAATATGAATAAGTCAGATTATCTCAGGTGATCTAAAATGAAAGGTTATGCATAGGAAATGAATTTTGATGGAGTTTTGTTCTCTGAGCTGGATGGTTTGGTCAGAGAACAAAACTCCACCAAAATCATCCACCTGAGCTACAAATTTTCTCCACCATCTCAAAATCATATGAGCGTAATACGCTTCTCGTTGTTCGAAAATGGGAGAATTTCGCCAAAAGGCAGGCTTCCACTCGAGAACAACTATATTTTCTCCATGAGTGTCTTCGCCAGCATGTTCTACCAACAAGTGTAAGATATAGACCTCCAATCAACTGCTCATTAGGATGGAGAATAGCGGAGCAAAGTGGAAGAAAAATGGTACACCTAATGATAACGGCACGACCAAACCATCCAGCTCATAGAACAAAACTCTACCAAAATCATCCACCTGAGCTACAAATCTTCTCCACCATAGGAAATGAATAGAATTGAAAATTAGTATCACTTGAGAATTTGTTGTCACAAGATTTGCTTTTCTACAAGGCTGAGGGTGGGGAGAGCTAGCTCTCCCTCTCGAAATGCTCTCACATGACTACGCGTATACAGCTACTACTAGAGGAGTCCTATTCATTGCCTTCTCACGGCATTACTGTTGAAAGGATGAAAAGCGAATGTACGACGAATTAACCGGGTTGGTGGCTATGGATGATTCACCTAGGAGGGTTGAAAAACCTGATTCCAAACCAATGGTATACATGGGCTCCACGATCCTGAGGAGACAAATGGAGTATCAACCAATCGACGGTCACCGGCTACCATGAGACTCCAACTGTTGTCCCTTCAGAAAACTACCTACTTTGGTCTGAGCAGCTGTGCAGTATCACAGCCCATACACATAAATCAGGTGACATGTGTGGCCCATATGTATTCGGTGCTCCTTTTGTACCCATACTTATGTGTTTAAATAAGGTAAGGAATTAGATTTTGGGTTTTCATCATGAACTAACATCAGCTATAATGTCAAAACTTTATTTACTCAAATGGATGAGTGAATTTCGCGCCAAAATCCAAGCCCTGCTATTCTAAATCTGATTGGTTCGTCCATAAATTATAGTCTCGCCGCAATCATAATCAATTAAATATTTGATTCGGATAATATTGCACATAAATGTACTACAAATAAACAGATTCATTACAATTCATTATCTTTCAAATCTTATTTATAGTGATTTCGTTGATAGATTATGGTAAGTTGACAATTTTAATTCATCTATCATCTTCCAATTTTTCTTTTCTTTGAACTTTCATTATTATTCTATTTGATTGGTACAGATAAATATAGAGAGAGATTGACAATCACACAGGATACAATTGTAGTTAACACTATTCATTCATGTATGTTCACCGATATCAGGATATGGAGCTAAAAAAAGCGGTTACGTAACATGTTCAAATCATTAGTATTGGAGACAAAGATAAAAAACTAATGTGATCATATATTAATTCTTTCAAGAAGAGTTTCTTATAAGGGATAATGTATACAAATCTAAGGTGTTAAACTTCAGATAATTAAACTCCAAAATCAATAATGTTGATTGGGGCATTTAGAAAATAGTGGGAATAAACAAGCTATTCATTGAAAATTATATAGAAGCCTAATGAAATGCTTCTACGTCAAGAAAATAACACATGAATAATGTTGAAAGTCAAGTTGATTTCTTTATTGATCAATAAGAAGTAAGAATATATAGGCGAGATTATAATTTATGGACGAACCAATCAGAAGAGTTTGTGGGACTTCAAGGTCACGGCGCCAATTTAAGTACCTAATACTCATGTACGATCGTGATAATTGAGAGGCTACAACCAAAAAGACTACTAAGAAACTCCTTTGTTTGTGATTGTGATGTTGTTGTCTTTCGATGTAATATGTGTTGGAGGAGGAAGTCTTCTGGAATAGGGTTTTTTCGCTCGATCCAGATTGAGACTGAATTAAATTATGACAATTGTTGCGAACTGGATAATAAAAGTACCAGTAACTTTGACTGCTACCGGATACTACGATATATATGAAAGATTGGAGAGCGTACAGATGCCTACATAAACTTGGTTATGTGCATCGTATCGTTATCCATAATCAGCATTTTATGAACTCAAAAACCGGAGTGCACACTAACAATATTGAAGCTATGTAGTCCAGGCTAAAGAGGTTTTTACGACACTATCATGGCTCGGGAGGACGGTAATTATGGAGCCATGTGGATGAGTTCCTATGTCACATGCATTACGATTTTAGAACCTCTGAACCTCTTTCTAACATTGACAAGTTTTTAAGCCACGTAAAAGAAGTGACTCCACATTAATTCTTTAGTTTTGTATGCTATATTTTACTCTAGACAAGCATGACATTGATCAACACCCAGTGATCAATCAATTGTGATTACATCTCAGTCCTACAGGAGGTTAGTCACGGCTCGGATAGCTCAGTGGTAACGTCTCTGACTGTGAAGCTGGGTGACACGAGATTGAATCCGCCAGGGAGCACCAGTTCCCTCAAGATTACAGGTACACCTTGCTGACGAGTGCCAGGTAGCACGAAACCCGGATCCAGGGTTTCCTGTTGACTACCTCCAACCACCATCTAAATCTCAATACATAGTGCCCGCAGTGTCGAGTCACCTAGACTGGTGGCCACATTGCAACATGATCGATAACATTCGATCTGCACTAATAAGGACTAGACAAGCATGACATTGATCACCACCCAGTGATCAATCAATTGTGATATTTTACTCTGTACTAACTGTTTTCTGGTTGGCTAATATTACTCAACGTCACTTAAGATTCGTTCAAAGGTCGTCCATGAATTACGGCCTCGCCTATCTTGTTCACATGTTCATCTGTAACCTTTGTTTTTTTTTATATAGTTCAGTTATTATATACAAATGACATGTTTTAGAAATACATGTTTTCCACAGATAAACAAATTTCGAACTATTCACTGAGGTTCCTACACTATGATTGATCTAATATAATTCGTAGTATGTAATTTGAATTGTTAGTGTGAGGCAATATTTTGCGAATAAAAAAGTATCAGAGGAATACGTTAAAAACTTTCGAGAACCAACTTTGAATTATACATGAAACTATTTATCGTAGTATTATAAGCAAAGATGGATAGTGGCTAGAAGTGGAAACTAGTATGCGCGTTTTGTCGTATTTGGGACTCGTCAGCCGAATGTACCTGCATCTCAGAACTGATATGTCACTCTGTGACTCAAACCCAATACTGTTCGTTGCAAACGCCATCACGTTATCCATTTAGCTATTGAGTCCTGATAGCCACTTACTTGTGCATTGGAGTGAAGTTTACTTGAATCTTCCCACTGAAGAATCAGGGAAGCCTTACCAAGTGTTTATCATAATGTTTCGAAATAACGCTCTGACCAAAAAATCACCCCAATTATAATCTGTGCAACCAATGTAGCTAACATAACGCTGCTAATTTTGTGCGATAAACCTTTCTTATAAATTACTTACTCCAGTTACCCCTTATGGAGGAGCATAGACCGCTCACCAGCATTTTCCATTTACCTCTTCCCTGGTCACTCCTTTCTAGTTGTTTTCAGATGTAATGGATCCTTTTGATGTCTGCTTCCAATTCTCGACTCTATGCGTTCTTTGATGTTCTTCTTTTTCATTTCGCTTCAGGATTCCATCTTAATCATCTTAAATTAAATAATTTTATTAAGCGTTCGTGCATGAGATCGATAGGTGCCGGTTTGGAATCTCGTGAGGCGAGACCATAGACGGCACTACTGAAGAATTCTACAATAGGACGAAACAGCCGTCCAGTGCTTCTAGGTTATTCCATGATAGTCTAACATCAATCGATTCATGATCTCAACTAATAACTTATTTGATATGATCAAATCGAATCTTCATCATAAATGATACCTACCATTATTACATGTATTCTCTTACTATTTTAATCAATAATTATTGTTGCTGTTGTTTATTTTCTATCCTTTAGGATGTTATTCAAACATTGTTTCTTGAATTTCAAAAATCTCGCCAAAATATTCTCCACTTAAATAAAACAAAAACAAAAATCAATAAATCGATTTGTTATTTGTAATCACAAATCAAAACGCAAAGAAAACAGAATCGATTAAATGAAATAAAGAACAACAACAACAACAACAAAAAATAAAAAAAAGTTATTATGTAACTGAATTTCTCTTTTCTTCTTCTTCTTCTTTGTTTTTACTTTTAAAGAGAAAAGTATATTCATGTTTTAATAGAATGTTTTTAAACTGTTCATGTGTGCTAGGGTTGAAGCTATCATGAGTTCACTTAATCTACGAACGACAATAAAGACTCAGTGACCAAAGACCAGTAAATTAGCTATTTGATACTTCCCAGCCCCACTAACTAGAGGGAGAAGTCCAAGCTTGGAATGGGAAAGTATATTCTGCAAACAGCCAGAAACGAGCGATCACAACAAACGCAATTCAAAACTTATATATACAATATATATAATCGATATTGCCATGGAAGTTTTGTTTAAACATTTAGTCAATAAGTTCGTCAATCGACTATGTGTGTGGATGGTAAGAAACACCCAAGCATACATCTGCATACAAGCTCTACAAAGATGAAATTACAAAATATGAGTTTTGGGGATCTATCGTCCCCAACATAATGGGATCTTTGTTATATATATAACCAAGAAGCTAAGTGGATAACGCAACGGAGTTTGAAGCGAAGGGTACTGAGTTCGATTATCACAGTGAGCATCATTTATGAGATGCAGGTACATCCAACTGACGAGTCTCAAGTAGGACAAAACGTGTATCCAGGATTCCATTGCTATATATAGCATTCGATCTGCACTAAGAAGGACTTGACACACATTACATTAATCACCACTTAGTGATCAATCAATTCTGAATATATATATATATATATATATATATATATATATATAAATGTGAGTTGTTTCAAATAATACTAAAAAATCATGATGAGTTATGAAGTAATGGAATGATGGAGAAGGTTTGTAGCTGAGGTGAATGATTTTGATGAAGTTTTGTTCTTTGAGCTAGAGGATTTAGTCGTAGAGCTTTTATCATTCTTCTAAACGACATTGAGGTCTACAGGACAAGCTTTGAACTATATGTAGAAAAATTAGAATAGTTCACTTCTACCTGAAGTTTATACAAATGAAATCATTCAGAAGACTGATGAAAGGTCCACGACTAAACCATCTAGCTTAAAGAACAAAACCCCATCAGAAGTAATCGAATTATGATTATTTTCAAGCTTGTTTCGGAAAATCACTAACTTATCAAGTCTTAAATATCGTAGCGACTCAATGTAAAAATTGTATAATGTGAGTATGTGACCTTGAATTGACAATTCTACAATTTGATCATTATATTCTGAACGTGTGTTAGCATTTTTGAATCTTTGACAATTGAATATCTTCATATATATCTTCAAAATGAGATTCAAGTCTGATTGATCGTAGATACAAACTGTTGAAGAATCCCACACTACAACGAAACAGTCGTCTAGTTGTTATAACGTGAAAAATGCTGCTGATTAAGGGGTAGCGAATTATTGATCGGACCAAAGACGCGCAAACACGTAGAACGACCTAGGGTTCTGATTGGCCCCGCTTCCCTGTCTAGCCCAACCAGTTAAGTCCAGAACGCAAGTCACAGTCTTTGAGTTATGAATCATTATATTTCAAACATACTTTGTTTATATACCAGTCAAGCAGACCACAACGTACCACAAAATAGAAAATAACATTGTACAATAATGGCCAACAGGAAAATAACACGTTAAATAAATATTGACCAATAAGATGATACCATTTCAAGTCCAAGGATAGCATTAGGCTTAACAGGATGGTTTTTGGGATATTTTCCTGAATATTCCAACACTAATGTATGCAGGTTTTCCATAGTGGTCTAGCTTCAACTGACTCATGAATTCAACTATAAAATTACTAAAATCTCCATTAAAAATCCCTTTCTGATATATGTATATATCCCAATAGTACTTACAGATTCTTATTAGTTATCCTAACTCGTATGAGATCTTCCAGCATATTCAGAGACTCCCTCTTCAATTTATATGATTGACAGCTTGAACAGACATACATAATTGTAATCTTCACCATTTCTTACTATCTATCGGATTAAAAGTAAATATCATTACTTTCACTTAAATAGAGGACAAATATGTATGACTAGCATCAGTTTTTCATAATATGTACTTCATAAGAAGCATAAATGGATCATAGTAATTTGTTTTATCAAGAAAGATATCAGAAATTAAGTAACAGAATGAGAATTTGAGAATTTATTCGAAGAAACAGATTAGATTCATAGAATTAATTGAAGTCTGGTTTACAATATTAAAATACGGGTAAACTAGTTTGTAATGCAAATGATCAATCGTTATATTCCTCTTGTTGTCGATCACAAAATTTGAGGTATTTCAGAAGATGCTTCTGATTGTTGCGCACCCTAATATCGATTACCTGTGTTTGTGGATACCTTTGAAGCCAGTCTAAGAACTCCGTCTGGATTCATAAGTTTCATTGATTAGTCATCTGTCATTCAAATTATTTATGTATCTGGTGTACATGAAATATATTTCAAACGTGTATATGTGTTAGGATAGTCGGAAAAAGAGACCAATAATTATCATGTTAAGTTCAATGGTGTCCTTGAACCTTAAATGTACATTTCTTATTGGTCGATGTTTATTTCACCTGTTAAATATTGTACAAATGTTGTTTCCTATTTTATGGTACGATGTGGTTTGTTTGCTTGGTATATAAATAGAGTATGTTTGAAATACAATGATTCATAACTCAGAGGCTGTGACTTGTGTTCTTCACTCAACTGGGCTAGGACGGACAGCGAAGCAGGGCCAATCAGGCACTAGGTCGTCCGTACGTGTTTTCCGTGTCACTGTCACAGATCGCGATCGATAAATAACGCTGCTTATCAAAAACCTGCAGACACACACACGTTACAACAATATGCCTAAGCTTTTCTTAATGTTTCGCAACCGGTGAAGAGTTAACTGCTATTGGAAATGTTTCAGGCGACTTTTAGGTTTGAGTATTTTCAATTCAGTTGTCTTGTAAAGTAAATAACTTCCATTACAGAATTGGAGGCTTGTCACTTTTAAATGACTATAGTTGAGTATTGCACTAACTAGACCCGTAGCGTTATTATCTGGACAGAAAATAACGCGACAATTTACATCCGGGAGATGTAAACTAACATTCTAAGGATATGGAATATTTATTACAGTAAGATCATTTCTTTCCAGGTTTCCTACATTTTGATGGAGTTTCGTTCTCTGATCTGGATGGTTTGGTCGTGGAGCTTTCATCATTCTTCTGAACGACATCAGCAGCACAAACTTCAGATAAAAATGAAATGTCTAAATTTCTCCACATGTGGTTCACAGATTGTCCTGTACACCTCGATGTTGATTGGTTCTTGTTCATTTTAAACCAATGATTGTTTACTTCTTTTTTTTTACTCCACGACCAAATCATACAGCTCAGAGAACATAACTCCATCAAAATCACCTAGCTGAGCTACAAATCTTCTCCACCATCTTAGGTTCCGTACAACTTGTCAATAAATGGTGTACTTATTTACGCAGATGTTATTTCAGAATTAGTCATATCAAGATAGTCTTCACAATTGGGATAACTAGAATACCCCTAATACTGGTAAACTCTCAACAATGTTTCTTGTTATATGTTGATATATCATCCCCACAACCTCAATTTCCTTGAAAACTGCACTTTGTCTGATTATGTATGAAGGGTTTAATAATTCATGTGGATTGACAAATATATAGAACTAAAATAAAATCCTTGAATGCATATCATAATAACCTTTACTTAGTCATGTACAAGTATATGATATGTGGGCTATGTTTGATAGATCTGACAAATTTATCTTGTTTCTTTTTAAAGAATGAAAGTCTGATACATTGAGAGCAATAACACTGTTAGATCCTTTTATTCATTTTTATTCTTCTGATTCGACATGAGCTGTGTTACTGCTCAGGTGCCCAAACCGAAGCAGGTGATTTGCATAGAAGGCCATAACACGAGCCTTCGACCTAAAGGTCTAATCCAAATGGCAGTGGAACAACGTCAGTGACCAACGTTTGGTTCATACTCCATTTTTTTCCCCAGGCTCCTGGAACCCATGTGCACCATTGATTTGGAATGAGAGTTTTCCAGCTCTCCTAGATGGACAAGAAGGGTCCACCAACCCGGTTAAGGCGTCGAACATTCGCTTTTCATCCTCTCGATTTCGTAAACAACAGAAATGCTGTGAGAAGGCAGTGACTAGGACTCTCCTGACAGTGACTGTATACGCTTGACTATGTGAGAGCGTTTGGAGAAGGAGAACTGACTGGTCCAGTATTAGACGGCAGTTTCGTCCCAGTATGGGACTCCTCAGCAGTGCGCGTCCACGATCGCGCGCGAGGGATTCTAACTCAGGAATTTTGATCTCATGCGCAAACGCTTAACCTCTAGACATTAACACCGCTATATGCCGGCCCAATTATTCGTCTAATGTTTTCATTGAAATATAATCGTGTGTAATGATGTCTTGTAAAAAAGAAAAAATAGTCTCTTTTCAGCCTTCAGTGATATGGAAAGTAGGTCAATTGAAATAAATCTGATATGTACAGAAAAATTTTCAAATAATGTTCAACACTACTTATAAATTCTTAAAATTTTATACTGTTCACGTTGGAACTTTACAACCATCTTTGTACGGATACATTCGGTGTGTTCTTCTTGTTTAGAAGTAATAGTAACTTCTATATTTTGAAGAATTTAATATTCCCATTTGTGTATTTTCAAACAACATATTGATAGTTCACAATTAAATTATCAAAATTGGATAGCTTACTTACTTAAGCCTGTTACTCTTCGTGGAGGAGCATAGGTTGCTCATCAATATTCTCCATCCAACCCTGTCCTGGGCAATCCTTTTCATATCTGCTTCTATTTCTCAATGTAATGTATGTTTCAATAATAAAGAAGAAAATAATATTGCTCAATATTCACCTTGTATATAGATCATTAAAGTATTCACTAAATGTACGGACAAATCTCGAAGAACATTCTGACTAAACAAGAAATTCCAATATACTAGAAAAGTTTTCAGTGTTATGTCAACATTCACTCAAGGTACAGCAAACAAATTGCCAA